GGGCGGGCGGAAAAAAAGGCTCGCTTGGGCCGAGCCGTTTCCAGGCGGATTTCGTTGGGTTTGATTATTGGTTTTCCCCACGAAGAGCCGAGCGGACCCCCAGTCCCCGATGCTAAGAATAGTCCAAAGCCACTTTTCTCCGGAGGACTGGAGCGCACAGAAGCCTCGAGCGGTTGGGTTTGGCTCCCAGCAGGTGTTTGTGGCCGGGGAAGTTAGTTACTTGCTTAGCACGAGGTGCTCATTGACTAAATAACGAACAGGAAACGGCCCTTGATGGGGAAACGGGACGAGAGGCCCTGCCGCGAACGGCCGTCTGGCGAGCCGTCTGCCAAGCTAGGAAAGGGCCCTGCCGTCGGGGGCAGGAGCCGAACCCAGCGAAGAGGGAGCAGGGAGAAGCCCGGAGCCCAGCCGGGGACAGCCCCGCCCAGGGCGTTGACGCTGAGCCCAGCACGAAGCGAGCCTAGAAAGGCCTCGAGCCAACGCCAGAAAAAAGGATCCGGCCCAACCCACGCGGGGATCGAACCCGCGCCGGGACGGGTGGCCCGCGGGGGCCCTGGCGCAGGCTAATAGCGCGGAATTTCAGCTCCTCCCCAGCTGTCCTGCGTGCAGAGCGATCGCGGCCAGGGGAAAGCGGTTGGGTTTGGTCTCTCTCTCCTGGGCTGGGGCTAGGGGCGAGCCAACGCCAGAAAAAAGGATCCGGCCCAACCCACGCGGGGATCGAACCCGCGCCGGGACGGGTGGCCCGCGGGGGCCCTGGCGCAGGCTAATAGCGCGGAATTTCAGCTCCTCCCCAGCTGTCCTGCGTGCAGAGCGATCGCGGCCAGGGGAAAGCGGTTGGGTTTGGTCTCTCTCTCCTGGGCTGGGGCTAGGGGCGGGGGCCTATCCCACTTGGCCCATTGTCGTTGAGCGCTGATGTAAATGGCGAGGATGCGGCTGTGGGAGTGGGGGAGGCTGGGATTCAAGGGGGGGAGGGGTTGTCTGCAAGGAGTTGTCTGTTCTCTTAGTCTCCCTCTGTACAAAAAGCAGGAAAGCGATCGCACTCAGGAAGCTGCCTGGCTGGGGAGAGGTTTCCCTCTGGCATCCCCAGCCCTAGTCCTGGTGCTCCAGAGAGAGCCAGGCAAGGATTTGCCCCAGACACTTCTTCAGGCAACTTTAACTACAACCTGGCTCCCTTCTGACATAAGGGATGCACTGGTAACATTGACATAGAACATTAAAAGACCTATCCCCGCCAATGTTGAAGAAAAAAAATCAGAAACCCCCTCTTACCTTGGTGGGAAGGCAGAGAAAAATCAGTAATTTATACAAACATTGAATCCTGATTGGAAGATCCAGTATCCTCTTTAGAAATCAAGGCCTGTTTCATCAAGGACATTTCCATCACAGCCTAGGAAATCAAAAGCCACAGAACAAGCTAACTCTGACTCCAAGACATGAAAATTCAGTTTTCCAGCCCCTCATTCTTTCTGAAGGTTTCTACCTGTTCAACAGTTACCCTCTTTCAACCTTTGGTATTGGTAAATATACACACGTATTCACTATGCAAGGTAGAATTTTACCACAGGAGTAAGGGATTTATCAGAAGCACAATATGTGTCTGTAAGGAGTTCCTTGCGGCTTCAGTAATTGTGTTTTTAGAATGATCTCCCTACTACATCCATACCTGAACCAGCATAGGTATATACCCCTGACTGAGAACCACTGATCTAGACCATCAGAAAGATCTGGACAAGCCTAATTAGGGTCAAGTTTTGCCCCATGGTAGGACTTGTCTACAGATGGTTTTTGTTCCCCACTCTCTGTATTGCTTTATGTATCAGAGTGGTAGCCATGTTAATCTGAATCTGCATAAACGAGAAATCCTGCGGCACCTCATAGACTAACAGTCTCCCTTTAGAAACAGGAAGTACTCAAGCAGTTACAACCCACTAGAGCAGTGTTTCTTAAACTTAAGACTGAGGAACACCAAACAATTTTTTTCATGGGAACACCAAGGATTTTTTTTTGTAGAGCAAAAACAAAAAGCCCCAAGGGAAAATTTGTGGAGCAAAAAACTCCCAAACAAACAAACAAACAAACAAACAAACAAACAAACAAAAGGATGCCCTTGTACATGGAGTTGAAAATGTAAACCACAAAAAAGTAAGGATAATAACAAACAAATGCTAAATAAGGTCATGTGTCTGGCCAGGAGGGAAGGTGCAGGAGAAGACTTGGGTCAGGGTGTCAGAGCAAGCTGGGAATGCAGGGTCTTGGCAGGGGGAGGGGAGTGAGGGGTTTGGGTGCAGGGTCTGAGCATGAGGGGGTAGGCTTACC